GTGGGGCGAATGAGGGTGGGGGCTGTTGTGGGTACTTCACCTACCCCTGCCCACATTTTTGATGTTGTCGGTACCGGGGTTTGAACCGGTGATCACAAGCCCACCATCTATAACTTCTGCACCACCACTCCCCCAACTGAGGAGACCAGCTGCTGCAGGTTTTGGAGGGGAGTGTTGTCCTATTCTTGTGTGACGTATGATTCTAGCTGCTCAACAGTCCTGGGCCTGCTTTGCTGGTCTTTTTTTTTTTTCATGATGTGCCAAACATTTTGGTTTGCTGAGAAGTCTGATTGCAGGCAGCACGTTAGGCATTGAATCAGTTTGTGGTTCGGTGTTGTTTTGTTAAAATATGCTGGGCCTTTCCTAAAGAGTCATCTGGATGGGAGCACATTTTAAAACCTGTACACAGTAGTCCCTCGTTACTTAGTGGTTCGTGTATTGCGGACTCACTCTATGGCAGTTTTTCAAAATAAGATTGGACATGACATAAAACTGACTGATTGATGGATAAGCCACACGATTGGCATGGATTTTTTTTATTTAAAATAAATGATTTTAAATTATTTAGCACCTCCTGCACCTTTGTGCAACCCATACTGCAGGATAAACTTCCTGCTGCAGCTGATCAGCTGTTCTCCCTGCAGAGCAGAGAAATGGGCGTGGCCAAGAACGCTTGCAAGTGGCAAAGAGCAGAGGAGGCAGAGAGCTGAAATCATGACACTCGGTGCTCTTTTAGAGCGTTTAGAGTTTAGAAACATTGTTTAGAATATTGCAAGAGTGGGAAGAGTTTAAAACACCTAATATATATATATATATATATATATATATATATATATATATATATATATGCTAAAATAAACTACTACTTACTACTTGTACTACTATTCCTACTTGGTGGTTTTTCACTTATCCCGGGGCTTCAGGGTACAGATCCCTCATGATGAATGAGGGACTACTGTGTACTGTTCTACATTAATGGTTAGCCCTGTTGCGATAAACAATAAATCAATTAATCGCATAATAAATGAAAAATATCTACCTCATTTTCATTTATTGACTTTATCATTTTTCATGTCTCTTTTTTTCTAAAGACACTGGATGACAAAAGGTTCAACTCCAGTGTTCTTCACTGACCCCTCCCTTTCTATTTTCTCTTTAAAATCTGGTTGAACCGTCCAAAATTGCGTTTTTGGATCGTTAAAAGCAGCTAAGCTGAGAAGCTAAGCTACGAGCTAAGCTAACAGGCCGACAATGGGAAAAAAAAACTCTGTCTTGTCGAAGCTCCAAAATTCATGGTTCATGGTTGAAACCCGTGCCTTCGTCTAAAAAGTTGTTTTTCTCTGCAACAGAAGCTGCAAACTTGTTTACTGATTTTTTAATTAAAAGCTTTTTGTGAAAAATGCTATGCTAAATAGCTCAAATCACACCGAGCGTCCACCATTTTGAGAACTGAAAAAAAGGAAGGAGAAATGGCCCATGTCACGTCAAGGGGCCTCCCTCCCATTTTTCTTAGAGACACACTGCTCCTCCCTCACTAGCCATCCTTCAGTTCAAACGGTCTTATACTGCCATCCAGTGGTCAAAAAAGGTACTACACCAAAACAAATTAACCACCATTTCTTCTTCAAATTGACAATAATTAGTAATTATTGTAAAATTTCAGCAGCACGGTGGCGCAACTGGTAGAGCTGCTGCCTCTTAGCGAGCGGGTCCTTGGTTCAAACCCAGTCCAGGGGCCTTCTGGGTGGAGTTTGCATGTTCTCTCCGTGCATGCGTGGGTTTTCTCCGGGTACTCCGGTTTCCTCCCACAGACCAAAAACATGCATGTTAGGCTGATTGGTAACTCTAAATTGTCTCTGGGTGTGAGTGAGAGAGTGAATGGTTGTTTGTCTCGTTTGTCTCTATGTGTCCCTGTGATGGACTTGCGACCCGTCCAGGGTGTACCCCACCCCTCGCACAGTGATTGATGGACATGGGCACCGGCGCCCCCCGTGACGCAAAATGGAATAAACGGGTAAAGAAAATGGATGGATGTAAAATTTCAAACAATATTATCGTTTATCGCTAATTTCTGAGGCAATTAATCGCCCAGCAAAATTTGTTATCGTGACAGGCCTTAATGGTGCTTTTACAGATCTAGACACCTCCTGTTCATTTTGAGAAGTTACTGCCATCAAATTTAAAATTACCCTTTATTATGTTACAACCTTTACTGTGTTTTCTATGTTCCACTGTGAATAAAACATTAGATAATAAAGTTTTCATAGCATGCATTTTTTTGTTGATTTACCTCTGACACTATGTCCCAACTTTGTCAGAATGAGTGGTTTGGGCTGCATGAGCTGCAATGACTGGATTGTGCAACAGTGGTCTTTTATTTTTCTGCGTTTCATCTCATATTGTAGATTATTTGAATGTGAGTTAACGAGTGCGTGCTGCTCCCATGTGAAGGAGGCCTTCATGTCAGAGCAATGCTCCCTGTCAGAGCTCAATCTGTCGCTGAACGATGTGGGGCAGGAGGGGGCGCTGATGATTTGCCAAGACCTGAGTCGACCCGGCTGGCCCATAGAAAGTCTCTGGTAAGAACAATAAAATGCCTTAAAGGAATAAAGTACCAGATTTCTCAAATACTGAGATCAAACCACACACTGCTGTGTTGTCCTGCAGCTTGACTCGATGTGAGCTGACCCTGTCTTCAAGGAGCTGGGCTCATTGCTGACAACTGGGACTTGTCAAATCAAGTCTCTGCTCGTAGGCCTCAATGAAGTTGGAGACGACGGCGTTAAACACCTTTGGGACGCCGTCGCACATCCCAGCTGCTTGTTGGAGGAACTGGAGTGAGTTGACGGGAAACAAAAGAACTCTGATAACATAAATCGCCTGATCCATCAAGGTGTTTTCCATGGAAACCTCTGCCCGTCAGTGTGAGAATGACTCATTTGACGGACGCCTGCGATGAGGACTTGTGTGCTGCTGTGAGAGGCAGTAAAACTCTGAAGCACCTGGAGCTGAGGAACAAGTCTCTGACCGATGCCTCCGTCCCGCTGATTGTTCAAGTGATGCGGGACAAGCACATCATGGAGATGGAGTAAGCCCCATTCTCTTCATCGCCTGCTGCTGCTGCACAGGGAAGGGAGATTATGTTTTTGTCCTTTTTGCTAAACTGTTAGCAAAATATATCACTTGGATGAATTTTAACGAAGCTTTCAGAGAGTGAATATTGGATGGACTTCAGCTGCCAGTCAAGCTGATAGACAACTTCAGTGAAGACGGAAAAAATGTCCATAACTGTGAATTGTACAGTTCAAACATGGTGTAGTATCATTCCCAACACATAGATCTCACACGAACATCTTTTTAGAGCTCGTAATATCCCATGAGCTCACATAATTTATAAGGTTTGACCAAAACAGCTAGAACGCCCTCTCTTCTCATCACCCAGTGATCTTCATGTAACACTCGTGCACTGAAAGCAGCAGATGATCTGCACTCCTTCAAGGAATATTAGGCCTTTAACTAGAAGTTTTCTTCATTTGTTAATCAACTCTCTACAAGAAAAATATCAATGACCTAATATTTGTTTTTCTTTGTTTTCCAGCCTTAAATACAATGACTTCAGTGAAGACGTGTTTGAAATGTTGGAGGACTGTGAGAAGATAAGATACTGGTGAAGACTCTGACCCCTCCGACTGCCACAGGACAGATCACGGCCAGTCGAAATATTGCTGCAGTCCAAGTAACAGTCGCCTTGCAAAACCAGCATTCTTAAAAAATAAAAAATGTTTAGGAGCAGCAACGTCCAACATTCAGTCCCGTTATTTATTTTTAGGTGCAGCAACGTTCTCATATCATCAGATCAGGTCCAAGCAGCTTTATGCAACATGAGAAAACTACTCAATGTTTGGCAAGTGTTACAGATCGGACTCTGTATGCTGATATTTAAAGATCTCAAAGCATTAGAAAATACACAAGTGCATCCTACTTCCTAATGAGTATTTTAATATTGGGTTTGGATATAGTATACATCAGGGTTACCGTATTTTTTGCTGTATAAGTTGCTTTTTTATTGCATAATTTGCATGCCCTGCGACTTATAGGCCGAAGTGACTTATATTTTCCCCATATTTATAAACCAATTTTTGGCTGAGATACCGTTTTCAGCAGCTAGATGGCACTCGAGTTATATGGCATGCCTTTGTGTCATGTAATAGGTAAACGTGGTTATTAGCAACACGATCGGCTTGCCAAAGTCCCTCGTTCTGCTCGCTGCTTGGAGCAACCATCAAATCAGCTTCATTTCTCTGCGCCTCCCCGGCAAAATGCAACTAATTTGACCATTAAAGTGCATTTATTAAGTAAAAGTTCAACTGAGATACACCTTTACTATAATTATGAGCAAACAAAAATTATTTTAAAGTGTTAATTTAGTTAAATTCTTGTTAAAGTCCTCCTGTGCATGCTCCCGCCTTTTTGCAGCCAATCAATTTTTGACACAACACCGGCCCACGTGTCCAGGTTGTCAGTGAAGACGCATAATAAATGTGACGTATACGAAGCAACATATTTAAGGATTTTTACACTTATATTTGGACTGACGAGACTTATCGGGTGGTGCGACATTTACGGCAGAAAATACGGTATTCAACTGGTGGCCCGCGGGCCATTTCCGGCCCGTAGTTGTCTTGAATCCGGCCCACCAATGACTTAATAAAATATAATACATTTATTTTTTGGGTTCCGTTTACTGCATTTATGATTCAGTGTGATTAAAACAAAAAAATGTAAAATGTAACAGATCAGTGTAATACTTAATTTATTTACATAATGACTTTAATCGCTGGATGTCCGGCCCCCGAGCTGCTGCCAAGGCTTTCAGTAACTGTGTCCCCTGAGCAGTTTAGTTGAATAGTCCTGGTATATATAAATATATTTAAGTTTTTTAAATTGAGAAACTGGGAGTGTGAATGTTAAATGAACCCACAATAAATACAGTTTGTTGCAAAGTCCTTTATTACATAGAAAAAAAAAATCTGCATGACTGGATTTAAAGCATTTAAATTTGATCAAAGATCTTTGATGTTCAGCATCTGGAATCATAAGCAGCACCTTTTTGAACAATTAAATAAATTACGATGATATATTTATTTTACAGCATTTCATGTGCAGTAGCATTAGAAGCAGTTCTGCAACCGCTGCCAATTAACACAAAAATAAATTCTGTAAACTTGTGACGGTAAACATCAGATATAAACATCTCAATGAAAATCTCCATCAGTAAAGGCACAGTTTTGGTTATCATTTAATAATGTGTAAAAAAGAAAAAACCTGAAATTAGATCCGACTGGAATATGATTGATGAAAGACCGCGTCACAGAAATAATCGATTTCCACTCAGTGGTCGCAAGTTTCTCCATTCAGGTCACTGGTGTGACTGTTGCCCTTCAGTTTGGGGGTGGGACAGTTTTTACTGCTGCTGGAGGGAAGCTCCTCATCTGAGCTGCTTTCTACATCACTGCGATCGTCTTTTGACACCTGGAAAATAAAACCCTGTTTTTTAATCAACCATCGCCATAAAGAAAACTTTAGATCCACATGAGCTGTTCTGTTAGAATAACTGGCAACAAGCTCAAAATTTAACAAGAGCTCATTTTAGTCGTACCCCCATAACAAATATTTACTGATAAGGTACAAAACAAAGCATGAATGTAGTATTTTTCTGGAATGTTTGCAACAATTTAAATTTTCCTTGCACAAGTTGCAAAAACTTATAATTTCTTGTCACTTGAGCTGGGAACATGGCGGGACAAACGTTCACAGAGTCGGCGTCTCGAACACTTTATTTTATTGTGGACACATTTAAACTGTCTCAAGCGTGCTAGAGCTGCATTTTGTACGGTGGCCTACAGGTTCAAATGCACAGCAAACAGTGAAACGCGCTACAAACGCATGAATGATAAATGGATTATACTTGCATAGCACCTTTCTCTCTTATTAAGACACTCACAGCTCTTTACAATCTGTGCCTCATTTACCCATTCGTACAGCACTCTGCTAGATCTATACAAAGACTAATCAGAGCTTTACCACATTCATACACTGATGGGACACACATCAGAGGAAATGAAGGGTTCAGTGTCTTGTCCAGGGACACGTCAGCATGTGACTGCTGGTGGAATCAAACCCCCAACTCTTGCATTGGAGGACGACTGCTCTAACCACTCAGCCACAGCCGCCTCAAACTCCAGAACACAAACGCAACAGAAAAATGCACCAACAAACAAATTCAAAAGGAAAATGCTGCAAATACCATTTTTTTTTTGTTTTTTGTGTTTGTGTGTTTTGGAGTTTGCATCTTTCACGTGTTTGTAGCATGTTTTGCTGTTTGCGGCATGTTTGCACCCATCGGCCACCGTAATGGACACCCGTGTAGGAGCGCTCTGACAATTTTTTTTTTAATAAAACAGCTGAGGCAAATGTTCAGGTCTATAAACCACATTGCTGATCAATAAGTATTGAAGAACTGGTTTCAATCTGCCTATTAAAACTATGTTTCAGTACCTTCTTTTTTTGGACTATAAGGTGCACCGGATTATAAAGCACATGAAGTGAAAGAAGTTCATTCTGACAGATTTTTGAGCACCATGTACCACATAAAATCGGTTCGAGGTCAGTAAGCACAACCAGAATTAATACATAAGGCTCACTGTCAATTTTTTTTTAGAAAATTCAAGGATTTTAAGTGCAGCTTATAGTCTGAAAAATATGGTAGATTAAATTATAAACATGGGAGGTGGGTACAACACGAGCTGAAGAGGGTGGAAGTGAGCAACAAAATAATGTGCACGGTTTTCAAGCTACGAGCACGAACACAAGCTGCAGCTTTTGAAACATGGCTCGATGGTTGCAAACACTCAAAATTCACCAAAACTACAATGAAAAAGTAAATGTTTGTCCATCGGAGGCAGCTCAGTGGATACTAACATTAGGGCTAAAGTTATCAAAATGTGATTTAGCCTTAAATAAATTCACCAAAACCTTTTCTCAAACTACTACTGCTTTTCAAATTGTCAATTTATAAAACAAATTTACAAAAACAAATAAAGCATTCCTATTGACAAACAAACTTTAGTTTTATGAGAAAATCTCCTTTAATTTCCATCAGGATGTTTTTTTTTTTTTTTTTTGTAATTTGGAGTTTTCTTGAACAAAGTCTGTTGGTTTAGAAGCATGCATTATGAGAAATGTTCCCGTTCTATTGTTCAAATGACACACGTTCAATCTTGTAGACATTTCGCAATAGTTTTTCAAAGCGGGGGCCGCTAGGGGGGCCAGAAAACTGGAAAGAAGAAGATATGTAAAAAAGTAAAAATAAAATATAATAACTATAATTATAAAGAGGGGGGGCTCAGCCAGAAGCTAATGCTGTTTGGGGGGGGGGGGGGGGGCATGGCATGGAAACGTTTGGGAACCCCCGCTTTAGAACACTGCACCACTTTATTTAAGCAGATTGTTTTTATATACTGTATCTAAATTATTGGTTATTTAGAAAACAGAATGAGTGAATGAGATGCAACACTACCAGGTCTAAAACTCCTCCCCCACCCCCAAACACAACAATAATGGACAAACCTTTCCCTTGAAGATAGCCTTGATTGCGATGCCGGTAATTAAGTAGAACCAGATGATGTGAAGAACCTGCAGGACCAGCAGCAGCCCATTTAACAGCCACCATGCCCGATACGGCCCAATGATCTCCCAGCTGTCAAACAGAACGCTGTAAACAATCCTACAACAAACGTGACACACACTTAGTAAAACAAATTAAGCAGATCTTAATGTGAAACAACTTGACTGAAGTATTTAGTTAAATACCCACCAGAAAGGAAAGATGACGAGTCGCGTGAGGAAAAAGATCACGCTGAACAACACAAACAAGGCGTCGCACAGCTTCTGGTACTTGGCATAGTTGGCCAACTTGGCAGCCTTTGGAAATAAATGATACAAACAATTCAAAACATCTTTGTATTATTTTTACTACTCGGGGGGTCACTGGTGCCTAAATCCAGCAGTCACTGTGTGAGAGGCGGGGGACACCCTGGACAGGTCTCCAGTCCATCACAGGGACACATAGAGACAATCGACACAAACAACCATTCACTCTCTCTCACACCTGGAGACATTTTAGAGTTACCAATCAGTCCAACGTGCATGTTTTTGTCTGTGGGAGGAAACCAGAGCACCTGGAGAAAACCCACGCGTGCATCAAGACAACATGCAAACTCCACCCAACAAGGTTCCAGGCCAGAATTCACTCCAACATTTTCACTGAGAGGCAACGGCTTTACCGCCTGTGCCTCTACGATTCAAAGCATATTAAAAATTAATGAATTAATTAAAACCTCTATGCGTTTGCAGTATACGATCTGTAACAGTCTTTCTGTGAAAAGTGCAATTTTAAATTGTGATTCAGAACTTTATTTAATTAGTGGGATAGCTTTATTTAAATAACAAAATGTACATACGGTACAGACTCATGTGACCCAAAATGAAAGAAGCGGGTAAAAGATAATGGATGGATGGATATACGGTACACTTACCTCAAGGAAGACATCAGATGCATCGTGGACACACATGACCAAAGAGCCAGCTTTTAGCATGTTGTTGCCATAAGAGAAAGTGATGAGGAGTATGGTGGCCAGGTGGTGGACAAACATGATGAAGAAATCCTGTCAACAAAATAAAGCAAGATGACAAGGACACATGAGGACAGAGAGATAAACATGACGTTTGATTGGCTTGTATCACAAACAAGCAAATAAATTCAATTCAGTTTATTTAAATAGCACCAAGTCAAAACAAAAGTCATCTCAGGGCACTGAACAGAAACATTTATATATAAAAAATAATAATTTAACATTATTTATCTGAGGAGCAGATTGTTTTAAGTTTAACTCCATCACAGACTCTCATCTTGAGCAAGCATGAAGGCGACAGTGGAAAGGAAAAACTCCCTCATGAGGAAGAAACCTTTAGCAGAACCAGGCTCAGAACCAGTGGTCATCTGCTTCAACCAGCTGGGTTTGAGAGGAACAGATACACAATGGCAGGTTAAGAATCACATGTTAATTCATTTTAGGAAATGAGGTCAATTAGTCCTCTAGTAGTCTAAGCTTAAGATAATATAACAAGCCAACCCTAACTATAGGATTTATCAAAAGGAAAGTCTTAAAACTGGTTAATGTGTCAGCCTCATGGACAGAAACTGGAAGTTGGTTCCACGAGAGAGGAGCCTGATAACTGAAAGACCTTCCTCCCATTCTGCTTTTGGAAACTCTAGGAACTGAAAGTAAACCTGCAGCCTGAGAGTGAATTGCTCCGTTAGGAAAATATGGAACAATACGATCTCGAATATAAGACAGAGCTAGGTTGTTGAGGGCTTTGTAGGTTAGAAGTAAGATTTTTAATTAAATTTTGGGAAAAAAATCATTTCTAAGGTGCTCAGATCCAAAAACCAAAACCTCAGTCTTGACTGCTCAAAAGCAGAAAATTAAGTGTCATCCAGGTTTTTATGTCTTTAAGACATGCTTGTAGTCTAAGTAGCTGATTGGATTCATTGGGTTTAATGGACAAATATGAGTATCATCAGCACAACAATGAAAATTTATCCCATGCTGTTTAATAACATTACCTAATGGAAGCAAATATAAAGTAAAGAGTATTGGTCCCAGCACTGAACCCTGAGGAACCCCATGACTAACTTTGGTGTATGATGAAGATCAATTATTTACATTTACAAACTGGAATCTATCAGATAGATATTATTTAAACCATTTTAGAGCCGTTCCTGTAATCCCAACATCATATTCAAGCCTCTGTAGTAAAATATTGTGATCAACTGTATCAAATGCAGCACTGAGGTCTAACAGGACCAGTATAGACACAAGTCCATTGTCTGAGGCCATGAGAATATCATTAGTAACTTTTACTAGTGTTGTTTCTGTGCTATGGTAAGCTCTAAACCCTGACTGAAACTCTTCAAACAGATTATTTCTTTGTAGATGTTCATGGAACTGACCTGCAACTATTTTCTCTAGAATTTTTGAGATGAAAGTTAGATTAGATATAGATCTATAAAGGGAAGCACGTTGGCACAACTGGTAGAGCTGCTGCCTCTCAGCAAGCAGGTCCTTGGTTCAAATCCCAGTCCCGGGGCCTTTCTGGGTGGAGTTTGCATGTTCTCTCCGTGCACGCATGGGTTTTCTCCGGGTACTCCAGTTTCCTCCCACAGACCAAAAACTTGCATGTTAGGCTGATTGGTAACTCTAAATTGTCTCTAGGTGAGAGTGAATGATTGTTTGTCTCATTTGTCTCTAAGTGTCCCTGTGATGGACTTGTGACCTGTCCAGGGTGTCCCCTGCCTCTCACACAGTGATTGCTGGACATGGGCACTGGTGACCCAAAATGGAAGAAGCGGGTAAAAGATAATGGATGGATAAGTCTATAAATGGCTAGGATTCCTGAGTCAAGGTTATGTTTCTTAAGTAAAGGTTTAAATCTCAGTAGTAGTACTACCATCTTGTAAGCCTTCCCTTTCACCCTGTCACCTATCCTTCTGTCATAGATTCCTTCTGGACACTCATCTCCATCCTGTCTATGTTTTTAGTACTGTCTTGTTTTGAATGGTTTACTCCAGGTGCTTAAACTCACTCATCTTCAATCCCTTCACTCCTTACTGCTTCACTGCTACACCCGTTTCTCTCCGTCTCATTAACACACATGGATTCTGTCTTGTTTTCTGACTTCTATTCCTCTTCCCTCCAGATGATAACTTCACCTCTCCAGGTTCTCTTCCACCTGCTCCCTCACAATCCACCTTGCTCATTGCAGATCACAATGTCATCTGCAAACATCATCTACCACCTGTCCATCACCACTGCAAACAAGAAAAGGCTCAAAGTTGATCTCTGAAGTAACCCCACCATCACCTTGAACCCATCTGCCACTCCCACTGCACAACTCACATCTCACCATCACCCCGGGTTTGTACGACCGCTGGCGAATCCAGCAACATCCAGTATCAATTCTTTAAGGTTCAGATCACAGATACATGGTTCTTAAATCAACTTGTTAATTTACTTTAAGGATGTTATTCCTTCAAACTGCACTACCCGTCACACACTTAAAGACGACAAGCAACATCTTTTTTGAAAGCGCTGAAGGACCTAAGCTTCTTAATAAATAACGGTAGTCAGAGATTCTTTATTGTCGTTCGCATCACATGTGGAACATGTAGTGGAACAAAATTGTGTACACAGGGTCCCAGTTACATCAAACAATAGCAAAAATATAAAAAGGGTAAAAAGAAACAATAAATAAGGATCTGAGATATAAACTAAGATATACACTAAACAAACACCAAACGGTACATTAAAAGATCTAATTAGATACATGTCAGTCACTAATAGTGCAAAACAACACACCGAACAGCAGCAGCACGATTCTCATAGGTTCTGTTCAGCTATAAATTACACGCTTAATGCGAGCACTAACATAAACTAAACTAACATAAACTAGGATTTAATCAAAGCACGCAACAAAAACACAGAAACAAGTGATCAAAAGTGAAAAAGAAATAAATCCACAGCAGCACGGTCGTACTGGCAGAGAGGTTCTGATGACAGTGAGGTTCTCTTAGCAACATGGTGCAGTTGGCACCATGGTACTGTTAGCAGCGGGGTTCAGTTAGCGGCGTGGTCTTGTTAGTAGCGTTAGCAGGTCCCTTCAGCAGCATGATGATAATAAGGACCGCAGCAGCTACTTCCCAGACTGCCCTCCAGAACCGGGTCCGGCAGACAGAGAACGTCCTGGTTTCCCCGTGGAACCGAACGGATCCGTAGAGTTTGATCCGTGCAGGCAGATGGAGGATCACGGAGACAGGCCCCATGACAGACCTGAGCCCGAGGCTGGAAGGACTGAACCACGGTGGCAGGATGGCAAGGCAGCGACACAGAAAACTCCACAAGTGTGTCGCGGTCAGACCCGTACCGTGGATGTGCATTGTACGCACAAAATAAAGTTAAAATAAAAACAACAGGAACAAAAAAAAGATCGAGTTCACTGGGAGCCTGTGAAGCTGCGACTCAGCCGAGCGTGGTCATCTCGGATAAATAAAATAATTTAGTTTGTCGTGTCTGATAAAATAAATAAAAACTTGGTGCATGATGATTTACCTCATCTACTACTCATCTCTCATCCGTGTGAACCAGAGTTCTGTAGTTTCTCTACAACTAGGCATTATCTTAAGATCGTTTGAACTAAATAATTCTGTTGCGAACATGTTTAAGAATTACACAGATTTTAAGCCGCTTGATATTTGTTTTTGAGTACCTGCAGCAAAAGTTTCCACCCAAAAGATGACCATTGAAAGAGTTTCAAAAAATAAAACCATGTTTCATCACAGGGTAACTTGTGCAACAGTTGATGTTCAAGGGAATGCATCTACAACTGGACTGAATGTGCAAAGATATGACCTCCAGACAAGAATTATACCATTACAAAAATACTTCCCTTAAACAAACATATGAATAAGACTAGTGTTTGCCAATGACCCTACAGACAAATCCCTGATTTAATAACCAACCAACCGACAGATAATGTATCACCGTAGAGCCAAAGACAGTGGAAGTCAACAAGTTCCACATAATATGTTGTGATTTCCCTTTTTGTCAAAGTGCATATCCAAATGTTGCGTCAAAGCTGTTCGTCTGACTCACTTCACTAAAACTATTGCTAGCTATGAAGCAATGGTTGTGACATAAGTTAGCTTAGGAGTTAAAGGATATAAAACAAGTCAAACACGACAAACTGAGAAAAATGGTTCTGGTACAACAAGAAGTGCATGTTCAGTTAGACTAACAAGGGGAAGCACGATAATGTTGGTTTAAACGTTGGTGACTCACCTTCCGTTTAATGTCTGTAAACTGGGAAAACATCAGAGACCAGTAGAAAGCCAGCTCAGCAACATAATGAGTGTATTGTCCAGGAGCCAGAGGCTATGTGTTGAAAGAAAGAAACACACCTTAGACAAAAGTACTGCCTTATTGATTTGAACATAATGGACTAATAAAGGGTAACCTCAGAAAACTATGCTGCAGAACAGGATACGTATTCACTTATTTCAAAACAAAAGAACTCATTTGTACCTGAAACGGATAGTTGTACCAACACTGTCTGATATCCCACATCCACGGTGACTAGCAGATACAAATCAAACCATTTACTCAGGGAAACAAAGATATTCATCTCTAAATACAGTATCAGTTCATCTTAGAAACCAATTGAGTGTAACAATATCACCATTTAAAAACAAACTTAACAGGACGTAGTTGAACTTACCACCCACAAATAGCCTAGAGAGTAGATAAAAATCACCAAGTAAAATGTGAATCGCCACCTGCAGTAAGAGAAACACGCAGTTAGAAAACTTACTTTTTCCTGTGAACCAAAACATAAAAACATTACATCATTTTAATGACTATAAAATAAAACACAATGCACTATTTTTTTTTTTTTGTTCGCATTTTCTGTAAAGATACATTTATATTGTGATGTGATGATTACACAGTATAAACCAGCAGTACGCCGGCGTCCCCCGTCGCTGAAGGATTTCAGTAGTGAATGTTGGTATTTTTGAAGATGCATGTATTTCTGGACTGGAATGAAACAGGAAATGCAGGTAAACCTTAATGTCGGTGCAAGATATTCAAGTGGGTATGAGTTCTACTGTGTAGAAGGAGAGAGGGAGGTTTTAGTTTTCTTGTCCGAGGCTACGCAGAGTAATGGAGGCAATTTTATCCACCACCAGGTGTATTGGCGGAGACAGTGGGTGGCCATGGTTACCATAGTTGCCAAGTCCGCTTATTAAAAGCGACTTTGGGCTTGTTTTTGTCCAAAGTCGCTTGTAAATCTTGTGAGTCACGGGTTGCGGTTTTTTGGGCTTATTTTGAACGTGAAGTTGCTTATTTGGGCTTGACTTTCTTTCCGAGTGAAACTAGTTGATTATCTCCCAGCGCTGCACAATAAAGCAAAAGACAAGTGGTAGTAGGTAAGTTTGTCTCTTCCACGCCCCCGTTTCCTGCTTATCGCTCCCGCCCAAGTTGGCGAGGCGACAGGCGAACACCCAAACACTCATACTGTGGCCGACCACTAGGGGGCTCCACTCACATGCAGATGTCAGGATGGTTTTTTTTAAATATGTAGAAAAAATTCCATCCATCCATCCATTTTCTTTACCCGCTTATTCCATTTCGGGTCACGGGGGTCGCTGGTGCCCATGTCCAGCAATCACTGTGCGAGGGGCGGGGTACACCCTGGACGGGTCGCAAGTCCATCACAGGGACACATAGAGACAAACGAGACAAACAACCATTCACTCTCTCACTCACACCTAGGGACAATTTAGAGTTACCAATCAGCCTAACATGCATGTTTTTGGACTGTGGGAGGAAACCGGAGTACCCGGAGAAAACCCACGCATGCACGGAGAGAACATGCAAACTCCACCCAGAAAGGCCCCTGGACCGGGGTTTGAACCAGGGACCTGCTCGCTGAGAGGCAGCAGCTCTACCAGTTGCGCCACCATGCTGCTGTAGAAAAAATTACATATGCAAAATGTATTTTTTAATCAGAGCTTAAAAAGTATTCAAAGTGTTCAGCATGATTTTGCTGTTGTTTATGTGTAATGTCATGGTAAATGAATTATACCGTTTTAAAACGGCCTCTGTTTTACACAATGTGGTGGGTTGCCAGTTAGGCTTGTTTTCATAGAGCTGGTTGTTTGTTTCTATCATGAGATCTGGCAACACAGTCATAGATTAATCTAAGCTACCTCACCGACCACCCCAATCAGTTCAGGAAACTATACATTTAAGCAAATGTAAAAACTAGAAAACAATGTTTCCTGCGTAGAAGCAGCCACACACCAGAAACAAGTTGGACCATTGCTTCTTCTTCAAGTTATCCAGCTCACAAGGTTTACATATATATATGTTGGTGGCCATTTTGAATTTGGATGTGGAAACCCAATTTTTAAAAGAAACATTTTCTTGTGCCTGGATGGACCCAGACACCAAAATGGAAGTTATCACGCTCATAACATTCACGAATGGTCGAATGGAGGGAATTTCCGATTCCCCCTTTTAAACTCCGTGATGGGGCATTAAAAACGGTCAAAGTAATTCTAGTTCTTGCCTCGGAGAATTCAGTATTGATCTGGATCTCGTTTAAAAAGCAGTTGAAAACATTTATTTTAAATCTATCATGTCAGCCGTAATGAGAAGAAAACATTAGTGGATCTCCAAAATGGGAAATCTGACTGCCTGTAAAAATATTGATGGAAATGTGTTGAACTGTGCACAGATATTATAATGTGTAAAAACTGGACTTGATGCATGTATTGCCCCATCAAACAAGCCAGGAGGAAACAGTTTTATAGCAGATATTCACTTGTTTGTGTCAGTGCAAGAACTTTGGTTTGTTGTTCACATAACTCATTGTTAGAGTATTTAAAGTATATTTTAGAGTAAATACTAAAAGTACACTGATTCAGGTTTTCTGTTGGCTGAAACAAAGCTTTATAAATCAGGGCAACCGATGGGGGATTTATGAAGCCAATTCGTTTGATTGATTTTGGCCCGTTAGCAAACAGCAAATCAATCTAGATTCCTACCAGTTATATATTTATTAGTTGTTTGGGTTTTTTTGTTTTTTTTAAGTTTGCAATGAATTGTGTTCTCTAAAAGTAAAATTTTCAATTTAAACAATTACATATGCAATACAAAGCTCTAAAAGATAAGAATTTAAAATGTCCAATTCACTCCAGTTAATAAGATAATGTTCTTGTAGAAGTCAGAACAACATTCTGGTCAGCTTCCTTTAAAGTTTGTCTATAAACAAACCCCCTGCTGTGAAAAGCCATCTCTGAAAAGGACCCAATGAAAGCTGTGCTGCCCAAAAATGTGCCTGACTCTTGGCATACCGTATTTTTCTGCCAATGTCACTTTATTTTATTTTCTTGCATAATTTACATGCCCCGTGACTTATACGTCGAAGCAACATATTTATGGATTTTTCCCCCCATATTTAAAAACCAAGTTTTGACTGAGATATGACTGTTTTCATTAATTTTGACTGAAAATATTGAACACGACCATTTTCAGCAGCAAGATGGCACTCGAGTGTATGACATGTTGTGTCAAGTAATAGGTAAAAGTGGCTATTAATGACACAATCTGCTTGCCATAACCTGCCATCTCCATCCAGCTCGCCTGGAGCAACCATCAAATCAGCTTCACTTCGCTGCACCGCTCCGGTGAAATGCAGCTGATTTGATCATTGAAGTGCATTTATGAAGTAAAAGTTAAACTGAGACACACTTTTACTATAATTTTGAGCAAACAAATAATTGTTTTAAAGTGTTAATCTTGTTAAATTCTTATTAAAGTCCTCCCGTGCATGCTCCCGCGGACGCTATTTGGCAGCCAATTGATTTTTGGCACAACACCGGCCCACATTTCCAGGTTGTCAGCGGTGACACACAATAGAAGTGACGTATTTATGGATTTTCCACTTTGTTGGACATATTTGGACCGATGCAACTTACAGGGCGGTGCGACGTGTGCGGCAGAAAATACAGTAGTTGCATTTATGCATGGCCACTGCTAACTACTTAAAGACATGGCAGAAATGGGTTTAATGCAGGCCAACAACTCAGCGAGTCGACCTACAGTAAACACTTTTCTTCAAGTATGAATGGAATTCATACGTCAATGCAAAAAATAAAACTCAACAAAACAAACATTTGATTATTATTTGAACAGTTTGGATTTTTTAAATCCAAAGTGTTTTAGATGAACAAAACATTGTTTAAATGACGTTTTAAAACCCAGTTAAAAAAAAAACATTTTGCACTATTGCTAGGTCACTGCGCAAATTAAAAAGACTAAATAAATCTATATATTTTTTTTATTTTGAATGTCTTTCTCGTTATCATTTAAAATAATATTGTTTCCTAAAAATGATGCGACACCAGATGCGGTTTCCAGCACGAGCGAAAACTGTAATTTTACACAAATATTTGTAAATATTGTTTTCATAGAAATATTAAAATCCAAGCAAGGACCGAACAGTGCATCCCAGACAACAGTCTGGACTCGTCCCTGCTGTTCGATCCCTTCAGTGCTCTTTGTTCACGGTGCACCTTCAGACACACGACCCTCTTTCTTCAGCGGGCCAGTTCAAGGACCGAGTCTGAACGTGTTTGCAGTGTTTTAGAAATGATGACCTACATGCTCTCGCAGAACTTCTTCTGCATGCTGGGCCTGGCTTGGTTCCGACGGACACGGAACCATCTCTGTATTTTTCGTTCATCCCAGTCCAGCTGCTTGGAGAGCCCCTCCAGCTGTTTACTGTCTGGACACTAAGGAGGACAAAACAGGGCTTTTATTAAATGATGCTTTGGTTTTGTTTGTTTTCTCCAATGCGCGTTAGCAAAACCACAAATCCCAACAACAGGCATTTCAGTTCCTGTGAACACATCATTACACCTGGGCTGGCGTGCACCAGTGTGTGCACAACTTTGTACACGAACAAAGAACGAGCTCCAGAGCAAACACGGGCTCTATGTACCGTGTTGGACTGATAGAGCCTCTCCAGGACCGCGTTGGGCTGAGCTCGCCGAGGCACTCCCTCCTGAATCTGAAGTATGTGGGCACAGGGCTTGGCCACCAGTCTGTGTACACAGAAGAGGAGAGAGAGGAGTGGGAACACTGGGTCAAGACAGATTTAAATGATCAAAGAGACAATTCAACACAGTAGCTTCCTTTAGTTTGCTGGAAGAGAGCACAACACGAGCTTTAATGGGGCGGGGGGCACTGAAGAGTTAAAATTCCTGGAGAATGTAGCACCTAGTCCAAACAAAGTGTGATGGCCTGTCATGTGACGTATGAGAAACATGAGAAACATGAGCTTGGAAGGACTCCGGCCCCAAACACTAATGTGTGTCACAAGCTCATGTCTGAGCGGATTGTTTATGAAATGCTCTACAACACTTAAAGCTTTCTGCTACTTCTATTCAAATAAAATTAATTTAAAAAAAAATGGCAGCTCAGAGAGCGGGCTGGGCACGTTTTATAAAATGTTGACTTCTTGTAGAATTGAGGAAGACGCGCTGCTTCCTGTGATGATGATGATGATGCCATTTCTCTTTCCTCGAGCTATAAATCTAAAAAATAAAACCCAGCAGAGCAAGTTTGGCGTCTGAAAAGTTGTTTTTTCTCCACTTTAAAAGCTCCGCTGACATCAAGTCAATTCAAACTATCTTGGTTTCCTGCAAATAAAGCGAATGTACGCGACGCTGCTGAAAACAAGTCGACGTGGGGAGTTTGAAACGCTGAGCTCATTTCTCAAAAATGTTGCAGCTGTCTTTTATTTAGAACCCACCAACCCACAGAAGCGGGCTCCGGCAGCAGGACAGAGACAGAAAAAGAACAAACAAACGAAAGTAAACAACGAACAACAGCCTGACCTCTCGAAGAGCCGCCTGAGCAGCAGCACCCCGGCAGCCAGGGGCAGGGCGCACAGCATGATGCGCCGCAGGTTCGGGTACTCCGCTCCGGCCGGCGGGTGCTCCACGTCAGCCCAGGACACATTCTCTGGAAGCCAGAACCTCTCGCTCCAAATCCAGGCTGAGATAAAGGAGGTCATCGGAAAGAAAGAGAGTGTCGAGCGTCCGGAAAGAAACGAAGCAGACACGTTGGCAGCGCAGTGGTCCCTCCTCACCGCAGCACTGAGGAAGCATAACAACCGTGAAGTGAAAGTCAAACTTCAGGCTTGACTTGTAGCAGCTGGAGAGCAACACCCACTGCCTCACTGGAAACCAGTCTGTTAAAGGCGTGCACACACATCACTCGTCCTGGTGCGCTCATCCTCGACTTTATAAGTGAGTTAGTGTTGACTTGGATCTAATGGAGGCTCAAAGTTACGTTAGCTAGCTGCTAAGCTAACACGGCTAATTAGCATTTAATTAGCTTAGCTACCTTTTACAACCAATTAACCTTTAACGTTTTTTTGCTTTTTCATTACATCTAAGTACCTTTTACACGGATATTGATCATTTATTTTAAGTTGTATAACAACTTGTTTTAATTGTTTGTAGTAAAACTAGCATAAACTTAATCTAATAAGTAAGGAAAATAATAAACAGGCTATATAAACTATAATGTCTTGTTTGTTAGTTGTTTTTTTTACATTATTCGATTTAATAATTTTATTTGTTTAGTTTTTGTCTTTGTCCTTTCTTTAATTTTTTGCATTACTGTATATTTTTATTATTATATATTTTAATGAGTTTATGTGTTTTAGGTCAGCACCATTACGACTCCGGCGCGTGCTGCCGGTGAGCCGCCGCGTGGGTGGAGTTTTTCAGTTCAGTTTATTTAAATAGCGCCAAGTCGCAACAGAAGTCATCTCAGGGCACTGAACAGAAACATTCATATATAAAAATAATAATTGAACATTATTTCTCTGAGGAGCAGACTGCTCCGAGTTCAACTCCATCACAGAACTCTCATCTTGAGCAAGTATGAAGGCGACAGTGGAAAGGAAAAACTCCCTCACCAGGAAGAAACTAGGGGTGCACTGAAAAATTGGCCCTGATTTCCTTAATTTTGGGATATCGGAGTTCGGCCGATACTTAAATGAGAAATTAAAATGAGAAACCGCTCCACCACATGTACCACATGAGGTGCGAATGACAATAAAGAAACTCTTGACTCTGATTTTACAGATTTTTTTGTAGTTTTAACAACAATTTTCTAAACCTAATTTATATTTCAGAGCTCTACATCATGACCAGTTAAAACAAGTTTGTATTGTTTCTAGAGTATTGTTCAAGAGTATGTTTTTCAATAAAATAAAATTTGAAAATTGAAGGTGCATTGTGACCTTATAACACCTGACGGTGTCGCTTATAAAACAAAATCGGAATCGGCAGGTCAGACTTTTTAGAGATCTGTGATCGGCCAGAAAACTACAATCGGTGCACCCCTAGAAGAAACCTTTAGCAGAACCAGGCTCAGGACAAGCAGTCATCTGCTTCGACCGGCTGGGTTTGAGAGGAACAGATACACAATGGCAGGTCAAGAATCACATGTTAAGATAGAACTAGTATCAAATGAAAACTATTCAGTTTTAATAATTCATTCAAGGAAATGAGGTCAAATTGTCTAAGCCTATAGCAGCATAACAAGCCAACCCTAACTATAGGATTTATCAAAAAGGAAAGTCTTAAAACTGGACAATGTGTCAGCCTCATGGACAGAAACTAGAAGTTGGTTCCAGAAGAGAGGAGCCTGATAACTGAAAGATCATCCTCCCATTCTGCTTTTGAAATCTCTAGGAACCACAAGTAAACCTGCAGTCTGAGAACGAAGTGCTCTGTTAGGAAAATATGGAACAATACGATCTGTAATATAAGATGGAGCTAGGTTGTTGAGGGCTTTGTAGGTTAGAAGTAAGATTTTGAATTAAAATCTGGATTTGACAGGGAAACAATTACTCCTAACTCCAGTTACATTTTTCTTTGTGAAAGACTGAGCTAAATTTTATTCTGCGTGGTTCAATTGAGACGGGAAAAATGTAAGTAGGCTCAATCATCCAGGTAAATAAATCACAAACAAGTTAAATCACGTCATCTGGACAGTTTCTTTTTGTAAGAAACGTTTCATCCAAAGGACTTCATCAGTCTGAGGCCTGTCAACGAGGCGGCTGTAGATGAGTGGTTAGAGCAGTCGTCCTCCAATGCAACAGTTGGGGGTTTGAATCCACCAGCAGTCACATGTCGAAGTATCCCTGGGCAAGACACTGAACCCCCATTGCCTTCGGTGTGTGTCCTGTCAGTGCATGAATGTGATAAAGCTCTGATCAGTCTTTGTAAAGATCTGGCAGAGTGCTGTACGAATGGGTAAATGAGACACAGATTGTTGTAAAGAGCTGTGAGTGTCTCGACAAGATGGAAATGTGCTGTACAAGTACAGAACATCCATCCAATGATCCATCCATTATCTTTACCCGCTTCTTCCATTTTGGGTCACGGGGGTCGCCAGTGCCCATGTCCAGCCATCACTGTGTGAGAGGCGGGGTACACCTGGACAGGTCTCAGTCCATCACAGGGACACATAGAGACAAACAAGACAAACAATCATTCACTCTCTCACTCACACCTAGGCACAATTCAGAGTTACCAATCAGCCTAACATGCATGTTTTTGGTCTGTGGGAGGAAACCGGAGTACCCGGATAAAACCCACGCATGCACGAAGAGAACATGCAAACTCCACCCAGGAAGGTCCCCGGACTGGGATTTGAGCCAGGGACCTGCTCGCTGAGAGGCAGCAGCTCTACCAGTTGCACCACAAGTACAGTCCATTTATCATTTACCAACATGATCTGTCGTATTAAGCTGCACCTGGTTGACGTGTTTCAAACCAGTCTGAATGTGTAAAGCCATGCTGCCTGGGAACTCAACAGCAGACTGGTTTGAAACATGTCAACAAAGTGCTACTTAATATGACAGATCCTGTTGGCAGGCCTCAGACTGAGGAAGTCCTTTGGATGAAGGATGAAACGTTTCTTACAAAAAGAAACTGTCCAGATGACACGATTTAACTTTTCTGTGTTAAATTGAGGAGGAAACATACATTCTTCTACTATGGATTTGTCACATTCCACCCTCCATACTTCTACCAGATGTGTGTGTGATATATTTAGGCCTGTGGTGTTCAAAAATGTCTCAAATGTTATTTAGATTCCGTCATTGAGTCGGTTTAATGTCAGTGATAAAGGAAAGTCACAGTCAGTGAAAAATAATTGCACAGCCTTAAATATGGACTTTAACAAGGAGTCAAACACATTTTACACATTAGTCCCTTTGAAACAAGAATATTTGGAACCTGTCTTGGAATTAATGTAAAGTAGGCTGATAATTAAAGTATGTTTAGTTATCAAGGGCAGCACTTTAGTAGAGCTGCTGCCTGTCAGTGAGCAGGTCCCTGGTTCAAATCCTGGTCCGGGAGACCTTCTGGGTGGAGTTTGCATGTTCTCTCCGTGCATGCGTGGGTTTTCTCCGGATACTCTGTTTTTCTCCCACAGACCAAAAACATGCATGTTAGGCTGATTGGTAACTCTAAATTGTCCCTAGGTGTGAGTGAGAGAGTGAATGGTTGTTTGTCTCATTTGTCTCTGTGTCTCTGTGATGGACTGGAGACTTGTCCAGGTGTCCCCCGCCCCTCGCACAGTGATTGTTGGACGTGGGCATCGGTGTCCCACATGACCCAAAATGGAAGAAGCGGGTAAAAGATAATGGATGGATGAATTTCTTCACATTTGTCTTTCAAGAAGTCAGACTTCCTTAATTTTTTTAACGGGTCTTGAGTAATATTTCCTTAAGTTTTGTGATGATTTTACAAAGTTTTTCGTTGTGCCTCGGCTGCTTTTTCACATATCAGTATAGTACCTGAGCACAAGTATTGTGTCGACACACACAACAGACAACTTGGCAAAGAACCAACTTCAAGTGGGATTTTAGGCACTTTACCAGCAGCCTGTCACAAAAACACAACGTGTTCCCATTTGTTTAGTTGAATCAATACAGTACATATAAAAAAGTTTTATGTCAACAAGGAGATTCCCAAAGAGCTTTTAGTTGAAAACTTGGTGTACAGTAAATGATCAACTAAAAATACATGTGCCAGGTTTATTTTCAGGTCTTCGCTGGATTTGTTTCTATTTTTTAAAGATGTAACTTTCAGACCACATGTCTGCTGGAGATAATGTTTGAGGTTCTGTTGCCCTTATCTTTTTAGAATATTACACAATATTCTGTCATGGTCAGGTACAGGAATAGATAGAAAATGGGTGAAAAGCAGCCAAGGTACCAAAAAAAACAAACTTTTAAGACCATTAGCCTGAAGAAGTATTTATGAAGAGCACTTAAAATAACAACAAAGTGTGGCTTCTTTGAAGCAAAGTGGTTGAAATCTTTTCACAGTACTGTATGTCTAACCCTAAAAGTGAAAACTATTGAATAAACTTATTTCAGTGAAGTGATGATCCATGCAGGATATAAGAACAGACATGACACATGGTCTCGCAGTGGCAGCTGCTCTTCAGCGTCATCCTGTAGCTTCCTCCATCAGTACCAACCAGCCTGAGCTGCTCCGCTCCCTGAACAAAACCTCTCTGTGTGAGAATGCAGCTGCAGCTCCGAGATGCCCTAAATGGGCACTGTGACCCAGTGTGGAGGGTCTGGGGACTTCAGCCACGGAGGAGGGGGAGAGCCTGCGCTCGAGGACGGTCTTTTCACTCACCTCTGTGCAGGGTTTCATCGTGGTTTAGGTATTTGTTTACTTTAACTCGTTCTTTGTCGTCACTGGCGTCAGTTCAAATATTGCAGGGGGGGGTTGGTGTGTTTGAGGTGATCACATTAGTCTTGACCCCCTTTGCTGCTTGGACTCTTCCATCTCGCGTCTGAAAAATTCAGATAGTTGGGGAAGAGTTGTTCATGTCAGGGACGGCTGGAGCCTCAGCACACAGAGGACTGTCCCTCCTGGATCACATAAGGTAATGATGCATTCAGGGTTTAGGTTTTTTATCTTGTAGGTTTACTGTAGCCCTCAAGGGTCATTTTAAATTAGTAAAGATTTAGTGTTTGCTCAGATGAGAATACAGTTTTGTGTTCATGCTTGAGGAATCTCATCTCCAACAATAGCATCTGTTCAATGTCTGGTTCAGATCTCTGCATGTTTCATCCATTCATGCCGTTCACTTTTTTATTAACAGATAATGGATGAGAAAGAGCTGAGTGATCCACTGAATAACGTTTCGTTGATCAAAGGTAATCCAGATTTGTTTTTCCTTTCAAAGTGCTCATGCATCATTCAGGTGAATGACTTGGCAATGTTTGCTGCTCTGGTGGCACACCATGCCTTGATAAAGGCCGGAGTTAAAATAAAAAAACAACGAGTGAAGTTTGTATTTTTTGGACCTTTGAGTCGTTGGCTTTGGATCTCACTGTAAATGACCTTATTTTTAGAGGATGATCTCGTCGGTTTTATCATCTTTTAAGAGGATTGAGACACTGAGAGGATGCTAATGTTTACTAGCTCTGATTGAAATCAGTGATGTTGTGGAAAACGCAGTTATAGTCCATCACAGGGATTTCAAACTTACAAAGAGGCATTTATGACAAAATGCACAGGCACGTTGGTGACTGAAGCAGTTTTGCATGAAGCATGATTTAGTAATGCTACACTGCACATTGTAGAGAGCACAACACTGTCCTCTGTCATTCCAGTCAGTTAGTTCTGCTCTGAGCGTTTTGTTGCTCTCATTTAATATCACTCCTGGGAGTGTGATCAGTGCTTTTCAAGATAATATCGACAACACTCAGGGCGAGTGGTTTCTAACCCTCTGACTCAGTTTCCTGTCACGTTCATTGGGAAGGCATCAGGCAGCAGAGAAATAGACCATGTCGGCTCTCGCCCTCAGCGCACGAGCTAAAAAAAGACTTTCTTCAGTTTTTGTCTGTCGACACTGGAGGCACTGTGGTGCTCGTTATGTCCTCCCAGTAGTCTCTGATATATTTTTGCACACAAACTAATCCATTACTGCTTTGTCAGGTGTCAGTCTGTGGCACTGAAAGACAAGAAACAAACGCTTCTAAATATAACGTGTTGCTCTGTCGTGTGAACTGTCCTGGTGCTTTTCAAACAGTGGACACAACAAACCCAGCACAGGGAGAGAGCGCACGGCATTCTGCCTCTCACTCATACATATGCAAAGATGAAGGAGCGCTGCTCTCTCTTCCTTTTGTCTGGTGCACAGCTGGGTGGTCATGTGGCTTCAAAAAGGATGTCACCTTTTAATTTTAGGGGCATCTATAAATGTCATCTGAGGGAGAGCCGGTGACTAAACAACACAATGTAGCAAATTTTCTGTTCAGACTTCATGACTCCTACCTAATTCCTTTTAACCCTGCGACAGGTCCATTTATGGTGTTTAGTCAGCTCTGACTCTTGTTTTTGGCCTGTCCCAAATGTTTGGTCTGAGATTAGGTCATAGCTTGTTTTTAGCTGTAATAGATTAGGGGATCAAGATTTTTCTGGGCATTTGCAAAGCACAAATATTTGTGGAGTTTGTTTCCACGCCCCAGGAAACACAACAGACCCTTGACAACGTTGGCAAGTTCTTTCCCTTTGTGTATTGTGTTCACTGGTGTGCTATTAATGGACAATGTAGATGTGTTGGAGGCTCCGTTGTGACTGAAGTGATGGACAACAGACAGAAGATGCAGATAACTACAGCTCTGTCTATTTCTGTACTTGCAATTAGTTTATGTAATGGGCCTATTTTCATATCTAGGGAAATCATCTCACAGCCCTGGTTAAATATTTGGGACTGGGACTGAATTAACGTGGTGGGAATTTTTAGTTCTCCTTCTTTTTTAATGGAAAATGACTCTCATCATCACGCTTTACCTTCTGCATCTTTTCACCTAATATGGGCTCTGCTCTCTCAGCTGCAGGTTAATGGATCTCCTGGCTGGAAAACCTAAATAGTTTATTCTGTTGTATTATTAGATGAGCTGAGCAGATCAAACATGGGCTCCTCTGGTGACTCTGAGAAAACGATCCAGCGCTTGAACGATGAGCTTCGAGAGGCTCAGGAGCTCGCTAACGCAGAGAAGAAAAAGTGCCGCGAGCTCCAAGGTAACAGGAAGTATCTCAGCTGTTCAGGGTGTTGTGTACATGACATACTGCCAACTCAAAATGAAAGATACACCTTCATTTATATTTCAAAGGCGTCCTGGATAAAGAGAGGAAAGAAAACAAACAACAAGCTGACGAATCTGCAAAACAAATAAAACTCCTTCAAGGTACGTTTCTTTATTTGTGAATTGGAAAGAGGAGTAGAAGAGTAAACGTCGTCACTGCTGATCTGAACGTTGACCTGGTTTTGGACAGGCCAGCTGCAGCAGCTCCACGATGAGCTGGGCCTTCTCAGAGAGCAGGTAGACGTCTCTCGCAGTTCACGAGATGACCTCCAAGATGCACGAGACGAGGTGAAGTCACTGAAACGTGCTCTGGAGGCGGCCACCGCAGAGAGGGACCGTGATGTCGCTTCGATCCAATCCAACCTGGCGACCGTCTCAAAGGATCTGGACAAGTGGCGTCAGACGGCCAACAAGTACGAGCGAGAGGTGGACGGCCTGCAGCGGGACTTGGAGCAGCAGAGCAAGCAGTGGCAGAAAACAGCAGAAATACAAGGTACCACATATTCTGTTTATTTCTGTTGTACTTACAAAAAATAATTTGTCTTGAATCATACATTGTAGATATTTTTAGCTGGGCTCGAAGTATTTACTAGTTTTTAGTTTACAAATAAATATTCAAAGTCATTCAATTCCCTTAAAAAATATTTATTCCTGACGAAGAAGAGACACGATTGATCTTTCAGCTGTTCTCCATTAAGCTCAGAGAATATGTTACAGAAATATCATGTTCTGAGTCATACTGTGGTGCTTTTTATTGTTTGTCAGTAAAATACAAGCCAACCATCTGCTCAGAGGATGCCTCGTTAAATAAAGCATGATTTCCTTCCAGCCTGTGAGCTGCAGTCACTGCAGATGGAGTGCAGTGGTCTTCAGAAAGAGTGTTCAGTCCTGAGATCTGAGAAACAGGACGCAGTGAATAAGCACCAGGGGGAGAGGAGCAACTTGCAGAGTGAGTGTGGTTCTCTCAGGGCAGAGAAGGAGGAAATCCTCAAGAGTCATCAGAAGGAGCAGGTCAACCTGCAGAGTGAGTGTGCAGCACTGCGCAGTGAGAAGGAGGCCGTGCTGCAGAAACAGCAGCAGCTGGAGAAGGACCTTAGCAGGTCAGTGAACTGATCTGTCACTATAAAGTGTAGTTTGTCCTCCACATTTAGATCAGAACTGTCCCATCTACTGACTCAGCTCCTTCATATTTTTACTGTCATCTACACTCCTGTTGTTGTTTTTGTGTTTTTGGTAGTTTACGTGCTCAGAATGCTGAGCTGAGCAGCAGCCTCAGAGACCTCGAGCAGTCCCAGCAGGATGTGGAGAAGAAGCTGGAGGTGCTGCAGCTCCAGCACCAGCAGGACAGCACCAAGCTGCAGACCCAGCTGGACGAGGCGGACAGCCGCAGCACGGCTCTGCAGAGAGAGGTTTGCTCCTAAAGCTCAGAATGAACACACCACTGAATATTTGTTCTCCAAACCTCACAGCTGGATTCTGTCTCTACTGGAAATATGTTACTCATATTTTCAGTTCTGCAAAATAATCCCTATTTTTTTTTCACCTATCATGTTAATCTGTGATCAGAACCAGAATGGTTCTGAGTGAAGAACTGTTCGATGTGGCTGTTCAAGGTCTGCAGCTGCCACTGGTGTGCTGCTGACCACGCTACCTTCCAGTCCCAGTGCTGACAGGGTTTTACAGTTTTAATGACATTTCCCTCATTCGCTCCCTACAGGAAGGGAAAGTTATTATCGTGAAAAACTTGACGTGTTCAGAAACATTATTATATTCATTAAAAATATACTGAAGGCATAACAACACATTCAAGTTGAATAAGTCGGGTTAAAATATTTACTTCAAACTCTTTTTAACGACAACAAAGTACAGTAGTCCCTCGTTTATCGTGTTGGATCTGTACCCTGAAGCCTCGCGATGAGTGAAAAACCACCAAGTAGGAATAGAAGTTCAAGTACAGTAAACTTTATATTAAGGATTTATAAACCCTTCCCACACTCTTGGAATGTTCTGAACTCTTAAACCTACATCATTTTAACAACATATGCCACTAAATTTTACTTACTAGCTCTGCAGAACAGCAACAGCTCTGGTTCCGGTCCAACTCTGATCTATTCCGACTCGGTTCATTTCTACAGACCTATCCTGCAGCAATGAAGCCCACAATCAGTCCTCTAAACTCCTAAACCTACTAATTTTAACAACAAGCTACATATACAGTATATATAGCTACTACATTTTACTAACCAGGCTCTGCAGTACAGGAGCGGCTCAGTTCCAGTCCGACCCGATAGATGAAAAAAGTCCTGGTTCAGCATGACTGAAGCCCACTGCTCCATCCAGCTTGATGTGTGCGTGCCGCTGCCCAGGATTTAGTCCACCACCTCTGGCCTGGTCTGGACCAGCACCACACGACCAGAACCTGACTGAACCCTGCAGCCGTCTGTCGTCTACAGATCCCAGGATCCGGGTCTCACTGAGTCCAGATCAGCTGCAGCCCAGCTATTGTGAGGATACAACTTGAAGGATGAGTTCTGCTTGAGGATTATTTGAGATTTTCCTCCTGCCAGTCCTGTGAGCTTATCCATACAGAACTTCTGACTTTGCTGCAAAACTTTCCCTCCATTTGCAAAAAATAGTGGTTGAAAGAGCAGTGTTGACTTCTAGCAAGTGAACTGATGGCTTCTGGGTAACATAATTCTTTAGACTGGCAAAACAGTGAAGACTTAATGAAAGAAAACTACAAAATAGCTGCGCTTTTTTTGTACCTTGCCCAGACGTGAGTTACCGGGGCTCCACCCTGGAGCCAGGCCTGGGGGAGGGGCTTGTCGGCGAGAGCTTGGTGACCGGGTCTCTACCTATGGGGCCCGGTCAGGCTCAGCCCGAAGAAGCAGCATGGGTTTGCCTTCCTGTGAACCCACCACCTGCAGGAAGGGCCATGAAAGTCGGGTGCGTGATGCCATGGGCAGTGGCCGAAGGTGGGAACCTTGGTGCTCTGACCCTGGCTTACCAAAGCTGGCTCTTGGGACATGGAACATGACCTCTCTGGTGGGGAAGGAGCCTGAGCTTGTGCGAGAGGTTGAGAGGTACCGACTAGATATAGTTGGGCTCACTTCAACGCACAGCATGGGCTCTGGAACCGATCTCCTTGAGAGGGGCTGGACCTTATTCCACTCTGGAGTTGCCCATGGTGAGAGGCGTCAAGCTGGTGTGGGTCTGCTTGTAGCCCCCCGACTTGGTGCCTGTGTGTTGGCATTTTCCCCGGTAGATGAGAGAGTGGCTTCCCTTTGCCTTCTGGTGGGGGGAGGGGCTCTGACTGTTGTCTGTGCCTATGCATCAAAAGGCAGTTCAGAGTGTCCGGCCTTCTTGTAGTCTTTGGCAGGGGTGCTGGAAGGTGCACCAGCTGGGGACTCCTTTATTCTGCTGGAGGAATTCAATGCTCATGTGGGTAATGACAGTGTGACCTGGAGGGGCGTGACTGGGAGGAACGGCCTCTCTGATCTGAACCCGAGCGGTGTTCTGTTGTTGGACTTCTGTGCTAGTCATAGTTTGTTCATCACAAACACCATGTTTGAACATAAGGGTGTCCATAAGTGCACTTGGCACCAGGATGCCCTAGATCGTAGATCGATGATAGACTTCATAGTCGTGTCATCTGATTTGTGGCCGTTTGTTTTGGACACTCAGGTGAAGAGAGGAGTTGAGCTGTCAACTGATTACCACCTGGTAGTGCGTTGGATCAGATGGCAGGGGAAGATGCCAGACAGACCTGGTAGACCCAAACGTGTAGTGAGGGTTTGCTGGGAATGCCTGGCAAAAGAACCCGTCAGAGAGATCTTCAACTTACACCTCCGGGAGAGCTTTAACCGCATCCCAGCTGAGGTGGGGGACATTGAGTCTGAATGGGCCATGTTCCACACCTCACTTGTTGAGGTAGCTGCCTTGAGCTGTGGCCGCAAGGTTGTCGGTGCTTCTCGCGGTGGCCATCCACGAACTCGGTGGTGGACACCCCGGGTTAGGGAGGCTGTCAAGCTGAAGGAAGAGTCCTTGTTGGCCAGTGGGACTCCGGAGGCAGCTGATGAGTACTGGAGGGCCAAGCGGTCCGCAGCCTTGGCCGTTTCTGAGGCAAAAGCTCAGATGTGGGAGGAGTTCGATGAGACCTTGGATAGAGACTCTCGGTCGGCTCCGAGGAGATTCTGGCAAACCATCAGATGGCTGAGGAGGGGAAAGCAGCACTTTACTAACACTGTGTTCAGTGAAGGTGGGCTGCTGTTGACCTCAACCAGTGATGTCATTGGGAGGTGGAAGGAATACTTCTCAAACCCTCTCAATTCCACCAGCATGTCTTCCATGGAGGAAGCTGAGTTGGGGGACTTTGGGGTTGATCCATCCATAACTGTGGCTGAGGTCGCCGAGGTAGTTAAAAAGCTCAGAGGCGGCAGGGCTCCGGGTGTGGATGATATTCACCCTAATTTCATTTAGGCTCTGGATGTTGTGGGGCTGTCTTGGTTGACATGCCTTTGCAACATCGCGTGGGGGCAGTGCCACTGGATTGGCAGACTGGGGTGGTGGTTCCCCTAATCACAAAGGGGGACCGGGGGGTGTGCTCCAATTATAGGGGCATCACTCTCCTCAGCCTCCCTGGTAAGGTCTATTCAGGGGTACTGGAGAAGCGAGTTTGATCGTTGGTCGAACCTCAGATCCAGGAGGAACAATGTGGGTTCCGTCCTGGCCTTGGAACACTGGATCAGCTCTTTACCTTCACTAGGGTCCTCAAGGGGTCATGGGAGTTTGCCCATCCTGTCTACATGTGTTTTGTGGATTTGGAGAAGGCATTTGACCGTGTTCCTTGGGGTACACTGTGGGGGGTGCTCCGTGAGTATGGGATTGGGGGCCCGTTGCTACAGGCTGTTCAGTCCCTATACAGTGGTGCGAGAGCTTGGTTCGCATTGCCAGCAGTAAGTCGGACCCCTTCAGGGTGGAAGTTGGACTCCGCCAGGGTTGCCCGTTGTCACCAGTTTTGTTCATAACTTTTATGGACAGAATTCTGATTCTGATTCTCGGTGCAACCAGGGGGCAGAGTTTTCGGTTCGGTGGCCTCAGGATTCCATCTCTGCTCTTTGCAGATGATGTGGTCCTGTTGGCGTCGTTGTGCCATGATCTTCAGCTTTCACTGGAGTGGTTTGCAGCCGAGTGTGAAGCGGCTGGCATGAGAATCAGCACCTCCAAATCTGAGGCCATTGTCCTCAACCGGAAAAGGGTGGATTTCTCTCTCCAGATCAAGGGTGAGGTTCGGCCTCAAGTAGAGGAGTTCAAGTATGTCAGGGTTTTGTTTACGAGTGACGGAAGAATGGAGCGTGAGATTGACAGACGGATTGGTGCAGCATCTGCAGTACTGCGGACTCTGTACCGGCCCGTTGTGGTGAAGATAGAGTTGAGCTGTAAGGCAAAGCTCTTTGTTTACAGTCAGTCTACGTTCCTACCCTCATCTATGGTCACGAGCTCTGGGTAGTGACCGAAAGAATGAGATCATGGATACAGGCGGTTGAAATGAGTTTCCTTCGCAGGGTAGCTGGACTCTCCCGTAGAGATAGGGTGAGAAGTTTGGTTATCCAGGAGACTTGGAGTAGAACCGCTGCTCCTCGACATCGAGAGGAGCCAGTTGAGGTGGTTTGGACATCTGGTAAGGATGCCCCTGGACGCCTCCCTAGAAAGGTGCTTCGGGCATGTCCGACTGGGAGGAGATCCCGGGGAAGACCCAGGACACGCTGGAGAGACTATGTCTCTCAGTTGGACTGGGAATGCCTTTGAATCCTCACAGAAGAGCTGGAAGAGGTGGCTGTGGAAAGAGAAGTCTGGGCTTCCCTGCTCAAGCTGCTGCCCCCGTGACCCGACTTCGAAACAAGCGCAAGATAATGGATGGATGGATTATGTACAGTCCTGTACTTAAACAAACCATGATAGAGCGAGTCCATAAAAACAAACCATGAAGTAGTGAGGGACTACTGTATATCAGTGCCAAAACAAAAAAAAAAGCACAGCACTTTGGTTATAATAACGATCTTCAAACTTTGTAACATTTGTCATCTTTCATTGCCAACACATCTAAAGCATAAGCAATGTGATTTTGATAACATGGTATAATTTTAGTCATGGTAATCTCTCCCTTGTGCCTGCAGCTGTGACGTTATGTAAAATTAAATCATGTAAAACTCGAGCAGAAGTAAAACGGCTCTAATCCGATACTCTAACTGCTAACTGCTTTACTGTTGTTGTGGTTCTTGAAGAACATTTTATTCCTTTTGTTGTCAAAATAATTTGATGCAGTTTATAGTCTGATAAAAGTCTCAGTCTTCAAGATTAAGGGCATGTCTCACACATTTATCCAGAGAAAACTGAGGACATTGTGTTTGTAAATAATGAGGAAATTCTCAAATTCCTCCTAAAATGTTTAAAACAACGTCCAGTGAAGTGGAGTTGCTGCCTGCTGTCATCAGCACCTCTGTATCTTCTCAGCTGGAACTAGCTGGCTGAACAGGAATAATCCATATTTGTAACCCGAACACAGGAGTGGCATTGTAAGTTAGAAGAAAACACAGATAACGTTATCCCTAATCACTGCTGTTTCACTCAGTGAATGAAAAAGACCCTTTGGAGGTCTGAGCTCACCGCGATTAGCTGATTTAACAAATATAGACTCAACAAAACCTGTAAGAAAATAGATTCAATTATTGAACAAATGCACAGGAGTGATGAAATGTTAGTGTGTAGTTTTATTTAAATGAAAACTTGTTTGCTTCATGCAGTTCACGGAGGCTCAGATGGAGTTGTCAGATCTGAAGGAAAAGTGCAAGAAGAGCGAGCACGAAAAGCAGCTGCTCACAGACCAGCTGGAGGAGTACAAGGCCAACATGGAGGACCTGCAGGAGAAAGGGTCAAAGGTGAGAATCTGTCAAACTCTCTACAACGAGAGGTCTTCTTCTCTGAGTTTATGTGTGTGTTAGCTGTTGAAAAGGCCATTTATAATTCTGTTTATTCATATTTAAAGCACGTATCCTCAACTGTTTGGTGGTTGAGGTTCAGAGTTGCAGCTAAGTTGTCTAGAGCATCCACAAGAATAATATTAGAATACATTTTTACAGTTTATTTCAGCAGATTTTCTTCCCTCTCGTCATCATTGTATGTGAGCAGTTCACAAACAACTTTCTAAAACTGTAATTTATTCAGAAACTATCTGGATCTGATGCCGTGCACCCTTGTTCAGGTTAACTGGCTCAGAAGAGCAACCAGGTCCATCCCAGATAGAGGACCGTCACTGAGAAGCAACATTTGACCGTCTTGTTTGTGAGCAGCACTTGCTGGACACAGACAGCCATGTGTGACTTGAAGCTTTATTTAAACACCAGTTAAAGACAGAACGACATCTTCATGAAGCTGCGCCCCGCCACAGTCTGCCTCGTTGCCGTTGATCACTATAATATCCCTTCCTTTCTGTAGACAACCCTATTGCTGCCTGTTCAAGCCATAGTCATCAGCCTTATCCTGGCTTTGCTGTATTGGTGCTTCGGCGCATTGTGGTAGGAAGGTACACATTACTCCTGTCCAGTCGGCTACATAATCTCTCATCCTCATCCCTGGATTTTAGAGCCTTGCATGAATTAATTGGCTTTTCCTCGTTTCCCCAAACTCCTTCCTCTGAGGAAACTTCTCGTCTGAGGAATCTAACCTCTCTAATCATGCAGTTTGAACATCTGTCTGTCTGTGTCCTGTCTGAATGGCTTAACATCTGCCCCTCTCAGGAGGCTGTGCTGCTTATTTCAATGTAAAAGAGCTTCTTTGTGACTTCCATTCACTCTGCGCCTCATCTTGATCTCAGCTCCTTCTGTAAAAATCTTGATCCTCTGAACAGGACGGTTTATTTTACGATGCTAAAAGTCCGTTCTTTTGTTTCTCGTGCACTTTTGCAGAAACCGTGGATGATCTGGGCTCCTGTGGTTGCTGTGGCTCTAACAGCTGTGACGGCTGCGGTACTCCTCAGAACCTGAGAACAACTGTCTCCATCCTGCACACACGAGTTTACCCACAGCTGTCATCAGATCCTGCCCTCTTATCATATCTGCACTGTTTTCTGGAAGAGGCTCTTATTTAACTTGTTTAACTCTTAAGATGTTTTATTTTAGACGGCAGAGACGGTAATAAAGAATGTCAGGTATGTCTGTTATTTGACTGGGTTTTAGTTTTGTTAAGTTTACCAGTTTGACCTGTGACATCATCACTTAACGAATGCTAGAAAGTACACCGCTTAGCTAATTTTATTTATCTGTGATCTTTCAGGAGGATCATGTGGAGTCTGAGCAGCACTTCTTTGTAATTCTAAAACTAACTAAATGAGTCTAACAGCAGCTGAACAAGTAGTTGTTTGTGGTGGATAAGTCGAAGTTTTGCAGAAGTTCTAGTAAAACTGGACCAGTTACAGAGTTTAGATGCACAGGTTTTGATTTTAGTTCATTTTTCAGAAAAGCGTCATTAAATAAAACTGCAGCAACTTTGCTTCTTGCACTTTTTTTTACTGAGTCAGTTTATAAACTGCAGCTTTTGAGTTTGAGTGACATTTACCTTCTGCTCTGTATTTCCATTTAAAACGTGTACCTAATATTTGTTTAATGTATAACTAATCATTTTAAAAAGGCCTACTTTATTGGGTGAAGAAACTAATTTTCTGCAGTTTAAAATAAAATACTATTTATCTTACTGCACCACTCATTTTATCACAACTTTTAATAATCTCCTATAACAAAAGTGAAGTCAATTATGACTAAATAAAATGCAAAATCAAACTAAACGGTGACATTACTTCTAGATATATGAAGTCACATGGAATACGTATCCTCTATGAAAAAGTAATGTTAAAATGACCTCGTCCAAAATCCTAAATTGATCTTTTCATGTATGTTGTTAATGATTATTTTGGTGAATAATTTTGAATTTGATCAGTTTCATCTAAACCAGAATAATTTTTTGATTTGAAAATGTCTAAATGCAGTAACTCCTAGAATTAGAGGTCATTTCTCCACCTCATCAGTAAAATCCTTTTCTTGACTAGCAGAATGGTTTCATGAACAAATACATCCAGGAAGTACTCACAGCGCTTCACTTTGTCCACATTTTGTTACAGCATTATTCCAAATTCTATTAAATTAATTTTGTTCCTCAAAATTCTGTACACAATACTCCATTATGACGATGAGAAAAAAACATTGAGATTTTTGCCAATTTATTAAAAATTAAAAACTAAGTAGCACAGTTGGTAGAGCTGCTGCCTCTCGGCGAGCAGGTCGTCCCGGTTCAAATCCCAAACACTTCAAAAATACTGCAGTATTTAATAAAATTATACAACAAGAAAGTGAATCATATTACTAAACAAAGCAAAAGAACATTTTCAAACACAACATCTAAACAGAAAATTTAAGAAAACACAAAGTTCAGACTCCAAGATAAACTCTAAACAAAGACTCACCTGTGACGGAGCGAGCGTTTCACCTTTTCCTGGTTGAAACCTGTTGAATCGCAGCTGCTGCACTCTGAGCTGCTAACGGCCTCAGAGGACACTGAAGGTCATGGTTTGAAGATGACAATAGAACCACAACATCTCCAAAAAGCAGGGACGACACCCTCAGGTTCCTGAAGCAAAGAGAATGCCTCTGTTGAAGACAACTTGGATTCAATTCAGTTTATTTATAAAGCACCAAGTCAACAGAAGTCATCTCAGGCATTGAACAGAAGCATTCACATATAAAAATAAGTTTATTATCTGAGGAGCAGACTGCTTTGAATTTAACTTCGTTGCAGAACTCTCATTCTGAGCAAGCATGAAGGTGACAGTGGAAAGGAAAAAAATCCCTCATAATAATAATGATATCCATCCATCCATCCATTATCTTTACCAGTTTGTTCCATTTTGGGTCACGGGGGTCGCTGGTGCCCATGTCCAGCAATCACTGTGTGAGGGGCGGGGTACACCCTGGACGGGTCGCAAGTCCATCACAGAGACACATAGAGACAAACGACCATTCACTCTCTCTCTCACACCTAGGGACAATTTAGAGTTACCAATCAGCCTAACATGCATGTTTTTGGTCTGTGGGAGGAACCTGGAGTACCCGGAGAAAACCCACACATGCACGGAGAGAACATGCAAACTCCACCCAGAAAGGCCCCTGGACCGGGGTTTGAACCAGGGACCTGCTCGCTGAGAGGCAGCAGCTCTACCAGTTGCGCCACCGTGCTGCCGATATAATATTAATAATAATAATAATACTTTTTTTTATAAAGCCCTTTAAAACAACCACAGCTGCCACAAAGTGTTGTACATATAAAATGAAGAACATTAAACACATAAAAACAGTTGTTAAAACATTAGATCAATAAAAATTTAATAAAAACATGCAGAGCAAAAGTCAGTGTGTGCTAAAAGCCAGTGAGTAAAAATGTGTTTTTAAAAGAGTTTTAAAACTGGACAGTGAAGGGGCTCGTCTGATGAGAAGAGGGAGAATGTTCCACAGTCTTGGAGCAGCAACAGAAAAAGCTCTGTCCCCTCTGAGCCTCCGCTTAGACCTCGACACCTCCAGGAGCAGCTGATCAGCTGATCTGAGGCACCGAGCAGGAGAGTATGGGTGAAGCAACTCAGAGAGGTAGGATGGAGCAAGACCATTTAAACTTTTAAAAACATAAAAGAATCTTAAAATGAACTCTAAAATGAACAGGCAGCCAGTGGAGTGAAGCCAGAGTGGGGGTGATGTGCTCCCTCTTTTGAACTCCAGTTAGAAGCCGAGCAGCAGCGTTCTGGACCAACTGGAGGCGTCTGAGGGAGGACTGGCTGACTCCAAGGTAAAGAGTGTTGCAGTAATCCAGCCGAGAGGTGACGAAGGCATGGATTACTGTTTCCAGCTGTTGTTTTGTGAGGATGGGCTTCACCTTAGCCAGCTGTCTGAGGTGATAAAAACTGGTCTTGACCACCGCTCCAATCTGGGACTCTAATTTAAAATCACTGTCCATTTTAAAACCCAAGTTAGAAACAGTTTTATTTACATGTGGTGTCAGAGGGCCCAGATCAACAGGGCAAGGTTCACAAGAGCCACTAGGACCAAACACCATCACTTCTGTTTTCTTTTTTTCTTCATTAAAATGTAAGAAGTTTAAAGACATCCAGGCTTTGATGTCTTCGAGACACAACAGAAGTGGCCTAATTGAGGGGGCATCTTTCTTTTTTAGTGGCATATAGATCTATCGGCAGTGTAACAATGAAAAAAGATCCCATGCTTTCTAAGGATTGATCCCAATGGAAGCAGGTAAAGGGAAAAAAGCAGGGGACCTAAAATAGAGCCCTGTGGAACCCCAAAACACAGAGGAGCAGTGGAGGATTCAGACCCAGCTATGTTGACAGACATGGTTCTGTCTGCCAGATCCTAAACCAGCTCAGTGCAGTACCATAGATACCCACTTGGTGCTGTAAGCGTGATATTAAAATGTTGTGGTCCACGGTATCAAAGGCAGCGGTTAGGTCGAGCAGGACAAGAACCACATGTTCACCAGAATCATTGGCCATAAGAATATTATTAAAAACTCTAACTAGAGCTGATTCTGTGCTGTGGCGAGTTTTGAAGCCAGACTGAAAAACCTCCAGGATATTGTGCTCATCCAGAAAACATTTGACCTGTGAATATACAATTGGAAGAGGAAGAAACCTTTAGCAGAACCAGGCTCAGGACAAGCGGCCCTCTGCTTCGACAGCCTGGGTTTGGTAACAGATACACAATGGCAGGTCAAGATCAAGAATCACATGTTAAGATAGAAATACTGTAGTATCAAATGAAAACTATTTATATGTATGCATTAGTAACTATTCATTTAAAAAAATGAGGTCAATTTGTCCACCAGTAGTCTAAGCCTATAGCAGTATAACAAGCCAATCCTAACTATAGGATTTATCAAAAAGGAAAGTCTTAAAACTGGACAATGTTTCAGCCTCAGGGACAGAAACAAGAAGTTGGTTCCACAAGAGAGGAGCCTGATAACTGAAAGATCTTCCTCCCATTCTGCTTTTGGAAACTCTAGGAACCACAAGTAAACCTGCAGTCTGAAAGTGAAGTGCTCTGTTAGGAAAATATGGAACAACAAGATCTGTAATATAAGATGGAGCTAGGTTGTTGAGGACTTTGTAGGTTAGAAGTAAGATTTTGAATTCAATTCTGGATTTGACAGGGAGCCAATGGAGAGAATCTAAAACTGGAGAGATACGATCTCTCCCACTAACTCCAGTTAAGACTCTGACAGCAGCATTTTGGATTAACTGAAGACGTTATAAAGACGTATTTGGACACCCAGATAATAAACCATTGCAATAGTCCAGTCTAAATCTAAATCCATTCGAGTTGGCTTCAATGATGTCTCGTTCTTTGCCACTCAGACTGGTCGAGAACTAGGGCAACAGTTGTTGTATGCTCAATCTCTCCCATTTCACCTGCTGAAATTAGGTTGGGATGAAGGTTAGGGACGAACTGGTTATAGTCTGGGTTAGGCTACAAAAATGAATGGAAGTCATTGTCCTAACAAGGATAAAAACAAACCTTTGTGTGTGTTTTATCTTCACAAGACAAATCTACCATTTAGCTCAAATTTAAGTTGAAAAACTGCACTTGGTTTTTACTGCATCAGTTGAATCATGTCGTTTTAAAACCACCAGAGGGCAATCTGTAACAAGCTGTGGCTGCTTTACATCATAGCATTCAGTTTGTTTTAGGACTGTAATCTGCTTTTAATTTTATTAAACAACCTAGACACTCACATATAACATTCTCACGACAAATGCATATATAGGGTCTGGAGTGGGCACACGGTGGTATATAGGGTATGGGATGTGTAATCATTCTCACCCCCGGGACCTGTGCCCACTCTCATATGTAGCATGCAGACATTTAGGGTTCTGGGCAAGGGTTGGGTCTGTGCCAGTCGCCGCCTCATCCCCCCCATTTTAAACGCACTATATAACAACATGCATCAACACCTTATTTGAGTGGGAGGAGGGAGGAGTTGGGTCTTTCTGTTTTCCTTAAACCCTCATTCTCCAATTGACGTTTGGGGTCAGGGGCAGGGAGGGGGGGGGGGGGGGGGTAGGCTGCCTGGTTGGGGTCTGGGCTGCGGGTGGGTGTTGGGCCTTGGGGGGCGATTGGGGTGGGGCCGGTGCTCCGGTTCTCCCTGGATTGTTTGGATCTTTTGATCAGGGTTCCTGGTTGCAATGGCCGGCCCTTTGGCTGGGGTGGCTGCCGGGTTCTGGTGGGGGGTCGGCTGTGGTTGTGCGTGTGTGGTCATTGGTGGTGCTTGGCGGCGGTCGGGGGCATGGCTTCACTTTGACAGGGTGCTGGCTGGTCGGCCTGATGTGACATTCGCGGTGGGGGGTGCTGTGTGTGTGTTGTGTGTGTGTGTGTGTGTGTGTGGGGGGGGGGGGGGTTGCATGGGTGGCATGCCGGGGCCTCTCCGGATCTGTGG